CGTGTAAGATAAACATAGTAGAACCCAATGTGAAGAATTCAACCTCAAAGAATATCATTATAATACTTGAGGTATATTCAAACAAGAGTCGGGGTAGTTAAAAGTACCGTATGAGTATTACGGGTATAAAAGAAAGTGCCACTAGGAAGGCAGTCAAAATATTAGTTTAGAAGCAACCATACAAGCACAAGGGCATGGAAGTAAGAAACTACGAATGATTATAGGCAAGTAAGGACATCAAAAAGGTCCGTAATAAGCCCACTTTGCGAGAGTCAAGGGTTCTTCCTAAGTACTACAACGAAAGACTAGATGAAGAGATAAGAAAGAAGGCTTCAACCTAAACACAACAACCTAAAGAGGAAATGATTGTGTAACAACAATCTGGCAATAACATTGTAAGCATTCCAAAGGAAAGTGGCACCTACTGTGGCTAATGAATGGGAAGTAAGAATTAAAAGTGATATTCGAGATCATATGAGTTCTTTGAAAACTCTGGCAAGTGTGGGCACTAAGATAAGCTAAGTATGGATGCAACAAGGGTCAGAAAAACCAGGAAAAGTAATTGCACACGTTTAAAGAAAGCTGAGATGGAACGAAAGGAATTATTCGATCAATGATTCAGAGTTAGTACGTTATGGGTACATTCAAGATTTTAGAGCATTATCCAGGCACCATATTTGTTGACAATCATACAGCCACAGAAGATTTTGGTATAAGTTAAAAGAAAGAATTGAGCACATGGCATAGACAAAGGATTGAATCGTTAGAAGAATGTATCATGGATATTCCATAACGCCCAGGTAATAACTTATACCATGAGCCACAGATTGAAAGATAGCTTAAGCCTACATAAATGTTGATCAGAAGGAAGAGGAAACTAATTACATCACCCAAGTAAATCAGGAGTCTAATTATTGGACCTAGAAAAATTATAGAAGTTGTGCTTGAGAACATGACAGAATCACTCTTAATATCAGATGTTCAAGAGAATTAACACAATAACCATAATCTATAATGGCTCTACAAGGAAGCCAGTTAGAAAAAGTTCCAGCCTCATAAGAAGTCAGTATGAAGCTCCCACCGGATTGTGTATATACTAGAGGTGCGAATATTATAATAGAGCTTCAAGTTATGGACGTGAATTACACCTGGGTGGAAAAGAGGTCACAAAAGAGATAGAAGATGATGATGCGAGATTTTAATGTAAGTAAGATAAAGGTGAATAACGTACAAGATACTCAAAGGCAGAAGATTGTGAATAGTCCATACTTCGGATAGAAGGATATAAACACCGGGAATGATAGCGGCGGCGTCGACGACAAGTCTTACAGCCTATGGTTTTTAAATACTGAGAGATCTAGTTAAGAGAGTAGATAAAAGTTGGAGACGATGTGATGTCTCGCTTGACATTCCATAATAACATAAGGAAATCTATGGTGCAAGCAAGTCGAAGGAAAGTTGTGAGTAGTATAAATGTATATGTATAAGTCGCAAGCTAAAGTATGGTAGAGCGACAAAGTTTTAAGGAAACATGAGTAAGGATGAGGAAAAGTAAGTGAAAAGGTGACGACCATGGATAAGTCCTTTGGATTTAGTCCATGGAAAAAGGAGAGGTAATGGTTTCTTTAAGTTATTAAAAGTTCAGTATAGCCTGAATGAACTCGAAGGAGTCTAAGATTAATAGCATTTAGAAGAAGTGAAATTCGTGAATTCAACAAAGTACCGAGCGAAGTACTTCAGTATACTCGTACATGCCCAAAGGGACATCTAATCAAGCTCTACATATGAATCTTAGAGATTGGGCACACTTACAAGATCAAAACTATACATGATGCATGATGAAAGGTAGCAATAGTTACGAGATTGGAAGGATTCCGACTACAAGTTGTGGTGTGAGAAGGAATCCTAAGGAGGGATGCCCTAAACTTTGGACATATTCACAAAACAGTCGCCTAGATGGCAAGGACATTTCTAAAGTATTCGGAAGATATAAGTTAGGAAAATGATAAGAGCATTGGTCAACATTCGAGGACGAATGTTCCAAAGAGGGGAATGATGTTTCACCCCGCAATTCAATATTACGTCGTGCAGTAATAAGTTATGACAGAGTTGCACCTTGTAGTATTACATTACGGTGATGTTACGCTTCGCAGTAATAAGTTACGATGATGTTGCACCATGCAGTAATATACGTTGAATTTGTCGTAAGGTAATTGACATCAGTCCAAGGAAAATATTATTTGGGGATTATAAGGATTATAAGTGATGAGTAAATTCGAGAAGGTAAGAGGGTAAGTAATATCGAAGAAAATGAATTTTTGTCAAAGTTTGGCATGTTGGGGTAAAATACGGCCCGAGCTAAAATATCCGGTATTTATGGACTAGTGTCATACAAGATACAACATGATCGTAAGGTGCACAAGGTATATTAAAAGAGAGTATTATTTAATTGAGTTGGGACAATTTTTAAATTATGCGGGTAATTGGTTAATTACCGGGTAGCGGGACATTACCTAATTAATTAATTAAGTATAGGACAAGACTAAAATCCTCACCCACTCTCACGTGGCAGCCCCTCAAATTCCAAATGTGGTGAGTCTTAATGCTATTTGTAAGGTGGCATTTAGAGAAATGAGGATATAAAAAAGAAATATTTGTTGTTAGCACTGTTTAGTCGAAAAACCTTAAGTGTTGCTACTGTTCATCAATTTTCTTGGCCGATCATTTTTGTTGGTTCCAAATTAGTTGATTCTCGTTGTTGAACTGTGGAAATAAAGTTTGAAAGGCTTAGGATTTAAGCCACAAAAATATACAAGTACCGTTGTAGTTGGCATACAAGTGTGATAAATTACTATCATTGATCAAAGGTTCAATACAAGCTTGTGGCTGACATCAATTTATGCTTTAAAAGGCCAGGGAGTGTAGAGATTTTCAATTTCTTGGAATTGTATTGGCAAGTTGTCGAATCCTATTCTTTATTTCATTTCCTATAAGCATGGAAGGATATGATTACCATAGAGCCATACTGGAAGTTCTCAATAATCAGGATGGATATGGTAAGCTCTATACATTTTAATGACATTCATTGCCAATTGGACGTTATATCCTTAATGTTGAAGCTATGGAACTGGTCTTTGAGAAGCAAGACAATGCAAGTGTATGTGATTATGCAAGCCAAATTTGGAAGTGGGAAATTACGGCTCCCAAAGCAAACTTGTAGTTTCATTTACATTAATCAGATGTACCTTACATTGTACTTTAACTTCATAGATGTGTCGATTATGAGGAACTGCCTAGATTTTGCAATTACATGCTCTCATTTTTAAGGGATTGTCAGGAAAATCGGCTCAGGTATGTTAAAGCTAAGCTCTTCTTTCATTTGGCATGATCTCGTCTTTACATTCATATCCCGGAATTTACGTATATTTTGCTAGTCTCGCAAATTGCGTATATTTTCCTAGTGTTGTAAGTTATAATATTTTTCTTATAGGGACTTCATATTCATTTGAATATTTCATTCTTCCAGTCAAGAGAGCAGAGAAGTTATATATATATATATATAGTATTAAAAGTATTTTCATTACCATCGAGCTATAATCGATGGGCAGGCCCCTATTGGGCAACCTCTGATCAGATGGTAAGTTATATGACGATCCTACTGTGGCCGAATGCTTATGAGCGAGCCCAGTTAGTCGAGATACAGAGCCTAGTATGGTCGAGCGCTTATGAGCGAGCCTACTACGACAGAGAAGATATATATGTATATCGAGCCTTATAGGGTCGGACAACTATTTTACTTACTATATTGAGAGAATTGAGTCATTATCAGCACGTAAGCATATCTTCAGATTATGTTTGACTTCCAGCTACTTGCAGTTATTATATTATCAGTTCAGTTTCAGCTTTCAGTATATTGCTTTACATACTCAGTACATTATTTCGTACTGACGTCCCTTTTCTGGGGGCGCTGCATTTCATGCGTGCAGGTTAGGCAGACAGACGAGTAGGCCTCTTCAATAAGTGTTGCCCGAACTCAACTTGATTGGTAAGCTCCATGCCTTTCAGAGTTTCTGGGTCTAGAGCCTTATGTATATCTTGTATATATACGTATATATATCATGAGTAGGTCGGATAGCCGTTTCTATCACAGTATATCCATTAGTAGAGGCTTGTAGACATATCTTGTTAGTTAGTGCAGTATGCTGGGCTTTCAGGCCTTGTATATATATTTGGTTGGTTTGCCAGTTGTAATAAATATAGCGGCCTTGTTGGCCAAGCTTTATATTCATATTTAGTCAGTATTCCTTGTCATCTTGCAATATGACCCATGGCCAAAAGTATGACATCATATGTTCAGAGTCCCTTAGTTGCAAGTTTGTACACAAGGATAGGTAAGGCACTAGGTGCCCGTCTCGGCCCATCAGTTTAGGTCGTGACAGGATCGGGTTGTGTGAGCACCTAATTTTTTCCCCACATGAAAATAACTCGTCCAAAAATAATTTTTAAAGAATTTTAGAAGTTTTTCTTTCTTTAGTTGCATTTCATGCATTTTAATATTTTAAAATTATAAAAAAATACCAAAAATATCAAATCATTATTACACGGCATTTTATTAGGTTTTAATTGCATTAGAATTTAATTGCATGTTTTAATATCATTCATTAAACAAAAATCACAAAAAAAAAAATTATTACCATTGTCATGCCTACATCTTTAGTTTTAATTAATTAGTGTTAAAATTATTGAAAATAGATAATGATATTTTTATAAAATAGGTTTAAATAAAAATTAGGATTTTAATTAATTTTATTATGTTTAAAATCAATTTTTAAAAAGAAAAAAAGAAGAAGAAAGAAACAAAGAAAGGGAGATGAGTAAAAAACTTGGTCTAGGCCAATTTCTAAAAGCTCAATTTTATTCTTTTTTGCCCAACCCAATACCATACCCAATACCTTCCTGGCCCAAACTCTATTTTTCATTAAAAACTAACCCTAGAGAAGGAGACAAGGGGATCTTAGACGTAAAAAAGAAAATCAATCCCTCTCTCTAGAAGGAGCGCAACTTTCCCCTTCTTCAACAAAAAAATCGGACCCTCCCCATTATGAACCTGAGCCCGTTTCACCCTGATCTTCTTCCTTACTTCTTAAACACACAATAATCGGATGACCTAACACCCAAAAAAATTCCTAAAAGCTAAGAGGGAACGACAAACTCCTCTACAGAAAGATCAGCCTAATTCCTAGGCCAAAAGTGAGCTTCTCCGTGGAAACACACAAAAAAAAAAAGAGACAAAAAAAAAAAAAGCAAAGTAAAGAGAAGACAAATACGACAGAAGAATAGAACAAAAAGCTCACGCGAAAATTGTTAGAATTTGAAACTTTTTCTCTCTTATCTCTCAAGTTTCGTTTTATGGGTTTAGAAGAGGAACTTCTTGAAGCTGTGATTTTGGATTTCTGCTGAGTTTTCACTTAATTTCAGACTTTCACTTGATTTACTTAGCTGATTTGGTCACATTTAGGTATGTTCTTCATTTTATAATTACCTAGTTTCAAGTCAATAAATGCAAATTTGAAGTTTGAATATCTCATCATATGTTAATTAGTTGGTTTGTTTTGTCTATATCCATAATTTCTTACTTGGATATTGTATTTAATGACATGTGTTGAATATTTTTGCTCCATCCAGCTTAGTATATGAAAAACTTAAAAAATCAGCTTCAATATAAGACACATATTAGTTTTCTTCGATTTTTTTTTTGGTTAAGTTTTGTTGAGTTTTTTCTTTCTTGTTTTGTGATTATCTGTTTTGCTTAGTTCAAAGATTAGTTCATGGCTGAGTTTTCATTTGTTATTTAAGGAATATTTTTGCTCAATTGCTCACTGCTTTCTTTTAGCTTTAGTTAATGGATATGGTAAATGAGAGGCAATGGTCCTGTAATTGGTAAGGATCAAATGAATTAATTAATGGAAAGATAAAGCACCTTTGTTTATAGAGTTTTTCTTGTCTTTTATCTTTCCATACACTAGTAGTCCGACGTGCGGTCAATATCAAAAAAATATTTATCACTTTGTTAATTTTTTGATGATTATATTTAAAATATCACAATAATTTGATTCTTCTATTCTATATAAATAGAATAGATATTGTCTGATTTTTAATAAATAAAATCTCCATTAAATTAAAGGGACTTATATAGTCATCAAATAATTTTTTGTTACCTATTTTTATTTATTATTTTAACCAATATTTAGTATAATTGTATTGATAATAGAAATTATTAGCATCTTACTTGTTTAATATGTTTGTCTGTTAATTTTTTTTTGTAAAATAATAGAAGATATATATTCTATTACTCTTAAAATTATTTATTTATTTTAAATTTTATTATATTTTTCCCAATAATAATGTTCGAATTTTAATGAATAAATACACTTTTTCAAAAATAGAAAAACAAAAATGATTTTAAAAAATAAAATAAAAAAATAACTCATCTAAATCAACCCTCACCCAAGTTTGAGTAGTTAATTTAGATAGTTAATTTCTTTGTTAATTTTTAATAAATAATTTTTTTCTTATTAACTAATTATGCGGTGTGGCTTTTTTCTAGGCTACCACTTGGATTAATGTGTTGCCTTTTTCTTTGGCTTTAAATAATATATAGATAGATTATTAGCATATTACTTGTTTAATTTTTTTTTCTGCTAATTTTTTTTGGTAACGTAATAGAAGATATATATTTTATTACTCTTGAAAAAATTATTATATTTTCTCAATAATATTGTTTGAATTTTAATGAATAAATACACTTTTTATTTCAAAAAAGGAAAAAGAAAATAATTGTAAAAAATGAAATAAAAAAATTAACTAATATAAACCAACACTCACCCATGTTTGAGTAGTTAATTTAGGTAGTTAATTTTTTTGTTAATTTCAATGGATAATTTTTTTGTTATTAACAATCATGCAAACTTTTCAAATTCTTGTATTGTCAAAGGTTAAACAGAGTCATCCTGATGTCCTCACTTGGAGCAGTGCCACATCGCTTTCTCCGTATCTAATATCAAAAAGATAAATTAGAATCATAGTGCAATTCCAAATATACACAAATATGACTTGAAAAAAATCATACACAACTAAGTTTCTCATTTCAGATAAAACACGGCTTGCTTGCTCCTTAGGTGCAAACTTCACGAATGTGTATCCCTTATTCTTGTTCGTTGACATCTCTTTGTGCATTCGAACATCAATTACCTCTCCAACATGCTGAAACACCCTTTTTAGATCCTCCTCCACATCATCACGGTCTAACCCACCAACAAATACTTCCAGCTCTTTCTTAGGGAAGTAAATGGATAAGAAGGCAGAAGGAGCCTTTCAAAGGGTGCTTTAATTTTTACTCAATAAATGGATGCTTTAAAATCAGTTTTCTTTTTTAAAGTGGAAAAAAACGTGCCCTTTAATTGTGCCATGTAAAATCAGTTATTTTTTAAAAAAGTAAATGATTCTAAAATTTTGTATTCTAAAAAATAAAACTGTCTGAAATTTTGAATTCTGGAAAAAAATGTCTTTTACATTTTTTTAAATATATTTGAAACTCCAACAAAATTGGAGAATTGTCCAAAAATTTTACACGTGTCAATTTAATATTGCGCCACTTATCATCATAATATTTCTTTGCCTTTCCTATTATATATAGATAGATTTTTAAATATATTTGAAACTCTAACAAAATTCCAAAATTTTTACACGTGTCAATTTAATATTGCGCCACTTGTCATCATAATATTTCTTTGTCTCTCCTATTATATATAGAAGATAGATTTTTTAAATATATTTGAAACTTCAACAAAATTGGAGAATTGTCCAAAATTTTTACACGTGTCAATTTAATATTGCGCCACTTGTCATCATAATATTTCTTTGCCTCTCCTATTATATATAGATAGATCTCCTATTATATATAGATAGATCTCCTATTATATATAGATAGATCTCCTATTATATATAGATAGATCTCCTATTATATATAGATAGATTAGAGATACCCACTATCTCTCCGATATCAAATCCATTCCATTTTGATGCTGAATGACATTTTGACAATTTTAGTCGTTTGTTAATGAAAAGATGGAGATTTTAGTCAAACAACTTAAATGTGATTTTTTTTAATTTAAAGACATTTTCTTGTTTTCTATTGGACGGATTTTTTTATTTCACTTCATTTGTCTCAATCTTGAATTTCTCCTTGCTATGCTTTTTCATCAATTAACAATGACGTATGCTTCATTTCATGGCATTTGTCTTTACTTGGAATTCGGCGATGTGATATAAATTGTTTGCAAATTAGCTTGCGCATGAATTGATCATGGAATCTCTTTTAGCAAAAGTACTCCATTATCATGGCCTTTCAATAATCTCAAATTAGATTAGGAAAGAAAACAAACATCTTAGCTTGCAATAGGTGCGATTAATAATAAATTATCGTGGTTATGAGTACGATTTTCGTGGCATGGTAACAATACTTAATCCCCAATTCGGGTGTGCATTTCATGTGACCCGATCATAACAACTTTAAATAATAATAAAATAAATATTTCGCAAATTGCGGGTGCATTTCATGTAGCATGGTTTTCAATTTATTCCAAAACGGCAAGTGTACGACAATCGAGACTTGTTCCAGAAATATTTCATAAATAAATAAAAGCGGTTATAAAGTTAAAAATGCACAATATGTTTAAAACAAGTAATAAATCAGATAATTATGCCAATTATTAACAGTTGAGCGACCGTGCTAAAACCACGAAATCCGGGAATGCCTAACACCTTCTCCCGAGTTAACAAAATTCCTTACCCGGTCTTCTATGTTCACGGACTGTAAAATAGAGTCAAGTTTCCTCAATTTGGGATTTAAAATAAACCGGTGACTTAGGACACAATAAATTATTCCAAGTGGCGACTCTGAAAAATAAATAAATAATCCCATTTCGATTTATGTCACTTCAATTGGAAAAACTTCCTTATATCCTTTCGGGTAAAAAGGAGGTGTGACAGCTCTGACGACTCTGCTGAGGAACAAAGAACCCAGAACTTTTGGTTCAGGGTTCAAGAATTCGAGCTTAGAATAACTGTTATACTTGGCTTTATTTATTATCTGATTTTTACATGTTTGGGCCTAATATGCTAAATGCCGCTTTTTACCATATTGATATTATTTGAACTGTATATAAAATGTTGCGAAACCCTTCTCTTCTAATATTCTGGGAAATGCACGCTGGTGTGACTTCTTTTCTGTTAGTGTCACACCCTAATTTAGAACGAGACTCGGACAAGCTACAAAGCCGGATGATCTTTTGGTTACCGGTACGCTGCCCCCCCTCCCCCCCCGGCTCGAGTTGTCCGCTTGGGTAAGCCAGGTCTAGAACAATACACCCAGGTTTTAAACGTAGAATAACATAGCCTCATGCCGGATCCCTAGTAGGAATGCTTGTTTGCATCATGTGCATTTGAATTTGGGGACTCAACACAGGGGTTGGGTCCGTCTAGGACAGGTGTACCCGAAATCAAAAGACCATCCCGATGCATTCATACCTACTATTTGTGCATTTATTTATTTCGGTTTGCATGTTAACCGGCTCTTAGATTAGTGAGAAAGATCAAAAGAAAAATCGAGTTTGAGGTAGTAGAGAAATTCATCCGTTCCTTAAAAATGGTGTTCAAAACGTCCTGAAACCTTGCCAAAATTTTCGAAAAAAAGTGTTTATATTTTTCTGTTGCGTCGAAACTAACCGAAGAACGCGGGTTTGATTCTCACCAGATCCAAAAAAAATATATTCTTTTCCTTCTTTAAAAGTCTTTCTTTCGTAAATGTAATGACCCGATTGGTCGTTTTGCTTTTTAGAACCCCGCCCCCAAAAATAAAACTTTTCGCGCTTGCTTTAACTAATTTACGACCTGCGGGGATGGTTGGTTCGGGATTTGGAAGAGTTTTAGTTGTAATAGGCACACTTGATTCCCTAATATTTTCTTAAAAGGCTAAGTTTGACTTTGGTCAACATTTTTAGCAAATGGACCACCGACTTGTGTTTTGACAGTCCCGGAGGGTTCGTACGGAAAATATGAGACCTGGGTGTATGCCCGGAATCGAATTACGAGGTCCCTAGCCCGAGTAATGAAGTTTTGTTAGAAATTGTCAAACTAAAATTCTAAGGATTTAATGAAATTAAATAATACTTGATCATATTGGTATCAGGCCCGTATGTTGGTTCTGGAGCCCAGTACACGTCCAATATAACATTTAAGAGTTGCATGCAAAATTTGGTGTCAATCTGAGTAGTATAAGTACGTTTCGGCGCGTTAGAAGTGAATTGAAGAACTTGAAGTTCATAAGTTTGATTCAATTGGTTTAGGGGGTGTTTCTTAGATTTATCGTTGTTTCGGGCATTCCGTGGTTTCGAGCAAGTCCGTTTTATGATTTTAAACTTGTTGATATGTTCGGGCAGGGCTTGGGGGCCCCGAGCGTCAATCGGGCGAGGTTCGAGTGAAGTTGGAAAACTTGGGAAGGAGTTGAAGCTCTAGGTTGCTGTCATAACCGCACTTGCGGTTGGTCAGCCGCAGGTGCAAGAACGCAGAAGCGGTCATCCCCTCGCAGATGCGACCAAGGCAGCCCAAGCCAGAAGCTGCAGAAGCAGCTAAGCTTCCGCAGAAGCGGTTGCTTGCCGCAGAAGCGGCGCAGCTGAATTTTTGTAGAAGTGGACACCTTTCTGCAGATGCGGTGGGCGCAAGTGCAGCCCAGGACCGCAGATGCGAAAATCACTGAAGCAGTGACCTTCATTTATTATGGGATCTAGGCCATTTTTGCTCATTTTCACTCATTTATTGGGCTATTTTGGAGCTCTTTAGAGAAGACTTTCACATAGCATCTTGAGGTATGTTCATCCTATTTATTACTAGTTTAATACTTGAACGTCGGGTAGATTAACATACAAAGATTTAAGGAAAATCATGGGATTAGAGCAAAGGCTAGGTTTCGATAAAAATTAGATTTAATCACGAAATTTGTTATAAAATAAAGTAGAAATCATATATTATTGATCTTTAGGTTATAAAGAACATCTTTCTTCGAAAAATTTCAGAATTCGGGCACGTGAGCCCGGGGTCGGATTTTAGGAAAATTGTATTTATGGTTTAATAGTTAGAATGCGAACTTGTATTGACTAGTTCCTACCTCGTTTAATTAGTTTTGGATCGTTCGACTCCAAATTGAGGGTTTAAGCACGTTCTTGGTATAGGAAGTACACTTTGGAGCGAGGTAAGTCTCCTTTCTAACCTTGTAAGAGGGAATTGTCCGCATAGGTATAATAATTGAATAAATTACCACTAAATGCGGGGCCTACGTACACACTAGGTGACGAGAGTCCGTACGTAGCTACTATTATGTTAATTGTCTGGGTAGTTTAGGACCCGTATCATGCTAAATTTGTAAATGTTTATATCCTTTCATGCTAATGAGATCACTTAAGATATGCAAAAATTTGGTAATGAACCTATGTGAACGTATGAACTTGTTTGAATGCTTGTATGAATTATTTGAATATAAATGCGCCTTTATGCTCCTTCTTGATCATAATTGATATTTGTGGATCGGTCCGATCGCTTCGGTAAAAATAGATGCATCTATGGTTTGTGCCATTCGACCATCTGGCAGTGAACAATTTCTTTTTTATTGGACCGGGCCGTCGACCTTGGCATAACGTGAGCATGATATTTATGTGAAATCTTATTCATGACTTACTTTGTTAAATACTCTGAAATGTAAATGGCTAACTATGATACTATCGAGGCATGACTTATCACTTCCTGCTATAAATTGATATTATCTGTGATATCCATGCTCAGCATAAAACTTTATTATATTATTGACCCTAGTAAGTATCAAGTCGACCGCTCGTCTCTACTTTTTCGAGATTAGACGGGATACTTACTATGTACATATTGTTTATGTACTCATACTATGCTTCTGTACTTAATTGTATAGGATCTGAGGTAGGTACATCTGGCTACCAGTCTGGTGCGCATTCCTGATCATAGTCTGAGACTTCCACGGTGAGTTGCCCCCTTCCTATGCCGTTCAACAGCTTGATGTAGTCTCTCTTTACTTTTGGCTGTCTATTCTATTTCAGACAGTAGGATAGATTTACTCTTTGTATATTCTACTAGATGCCCACTGTCGCGCCCCCTTTTTCTCGCGAAATCGGGTTTATGACATTTTTTGTTGGGACAAATCTTTCCTTTTGGAAAGGGGGTTTGCATTTTTTGAAGAGTCGCCACGTAACGACTTAAGGTGCGTTAGGGCACCTATAAGGTTCATTTATAACTACGTTTGGTAACCAGAGACAAGGTAAGGGTTTGAAATTATCCGAAAGGGAAGGTGTTAGGAACCCCTTAGGATCTACTAGTGTGGTTCCCGGCCAAACAGTTTTTGTAAATTTGTACAAGTAGCAAATAAACAAGTATGACTCAAATAGTAGGGGATTTAAGTTTAAGTACACAGATGTTTGGAAAGTAGTTAATGAAAAGCAAGATTTTGAAAAAAATTATAATCTAAGCATATTTAGGAATGTAAAAGGGGTATCCTAGGTTTATTTATAATATGGATCACATCAATGCAATACCCGGTATGACACTCCTCAAAGAGGGGATACATGTGGTATTAACGCACCGGTCATCATATCCATATCTACCCTTTCCCGCCCCGTAAAGGTAATTAAAGCGAGGGTTGGTCTCGACCCTTATTGCATGCTGTTACCCATCCCTTCCTATCAGTCCCGGAGGAATTTAGGACTCCTGTCCTATAAAAAGGGGTTCTAGGCAGACCCTCAAGTTTAAATTTAAAATACTAAGGCGACATATAATAAACAAGTAGGACTTCAATTAAGGGGAGCATGGAAGACCAGTGAAAGGCTCAGATATACCTCCACACAAGTACACATAAATAGCATGACTCATATATAATTAAGGTCTAAATTCAGAACCTAAACATGGTATCTAAGTGATAACAACAGAGTCAGATTTATGACATAACTCAAATAGGAAGTCCTAATCAAGCTTGCCTACTGATTTTAACATGCTGACAGTCAAACAATAATCACAAAGACGGCTTTGATTTTATTTTAAGTTGATTACCTAATACTTGCCTAAGCGTAAAATAATATGCATCAGTTACCAAAATTATTAAAACAATTTGAAAGTTATTTTACCTAAAGCATGATGTTCGAGGGAGATATGAGGTATAACGCCTTATTTGGATGGCCATGGATACACTGCATGAGAGCAATATCATCCACCCTCCACTAGGTGATAAAATTCCCGACAAAAGACGGGATCAAAACCATCTATGGGGAACAATACGCGGCAAGGGAAATGTTTGTTATACACGATGTAATACCAATGCTCATGCCTCCACCCCCGAATGAAACAACGGGCAAACCAGGTGTCACACCTGGTCGAACTTGACAAAACAAAGTAGAGATCCACGTCGCATCTACGCCCCCGGGCAGTTAGAGTAGACCAATCCCAAGGCATCGCCAGCATATCTCGTTTCAAAGTACGCCCATTCCTTTTTATTTTATTTCAAATTTGGAATTAACCTTTGTGCATGCATCTAACCAGAGCTGCCGAGACGTTAGTGCTATTGCAAGACCTCGAGGCCCCGAAGGCGCACCCATTGCACTCTTTTCCTTCGACCGAGTTTTTATCCCAGAAGAAGGGTTTTTACCGGCAAGGTTTTTAACGAGGCAACATCTGCAAGCCGCTTAAGGGGGAACTCCGCAAAAAATATTCAAGGCTATCCCTGCAGCCGACTTTTGAATAGGCGAGGGGCATTCCCCCCGAAAAACTGCCCACTCGAAGGAGTTTTGAAAAACACCAAATGAGGTTTCCTATAGGAAAACGATGTATCGGACCAAACGGTCGATATAGTNCCTTCTCACAGTAGGGCAACAAATCCTTTCACCAGAAATGCCCCGAAAAACTCGGGAACGGGCACCAACAGTTCAAACGCTCCAACGGTCTCCGGATCGAGTCTCTGAGATCGCAAAATTTTTTAGGCAAGACAAACCTCCAAGAGATCGGCTTTGACCCGATATAGGTCAACTCAACACAATAAATATATTACGATAATGGATCGAATGATGACTTCCAGCATCCCATTCTCCGAACAGGGAAATCACAGTATATTCTCGGCAGGGATCCCTTCATCGGATGCATCCCGAAACGCTCAGAGACTTAGCATCAGCAATTCAGCACTCGCACAACTCTAGGGTCAGAACTCCGGGATCATAAAGCCCCTACAAGGCAACTCCCAGCTCACGAAAAGTGGTCTTCACGCTTAAACAAATTCGATGACTCGGAGACTATCATTTATCGCCAATCACCATGCGCTGGAAAACCCGAAACTGTAAGACCCCTAGCGGGCATACTCGGCGTAACTAGATCTATTCTACATTACAAAAATTGTAAGACCTCAACAGGCATGACAAATTGTAAGACCTCAACCAACATGAAAATCCTGAAGTATAGGCTATACGTCGCATTTGTAAGAGTCCCGAAAGGGCATACCCTCAGTGTAGACGCTAAACTATCACTCGGGATCAAAAAATGGCTCCGGCCAAACACATCAGACTATGGTCAAAATGGCTGATACAACTAAACTAACACGACTCGGGGACACTCGACCGTCGCTAAACAAAAATCACAGGCCACTACTTCGAATATACTTCAGAAAGAACCGGTTAAAACAGACTTCCCTCAACATGCAAAAACGAGCTTCGACCATGTAAGCTCCAAATCACAAGGCTTCGAACTACTCAGCCTACGAGCTATAAACCTTCCGAGGTGCTCAAAACATCACCGATAACGACTTGAAATCGAGGTTCTTCCAGAACCGACGACAGGTCAGGCAAAAATCTGTCAAAAGACCTTAACGAGCGGAAAACAAAGCCTACAAAAAATCCCACGGGCAAAAACAGCGTAAGAGCCATTGTCGCCAGCTAAGCAAGCCTCCGAGACATATATTAAAAGGTCTCTACGGCCAAAACAGCGTAAGAGCCATTGTCACCAACTTGAAAATTGACAACTTGAGGATTAAAATGAGCTCGAATCGTAACCCGATTCGGAGGGCAGATCCAAAATAGTTAATTATGCAAGCCTCCAAGCCACATATTAAATGGTCTCAATGTCCAAAACAATGTAAAAGGCACTATCACCGGTCTGAAAATCAAAAGCACTTAAGGGTCAATTGAATCTCGAGTCGCAACGTGACTCGGAGACTGGACCCAAAATAAGTAAACTGCAAAATGTTTAAGTGCACGACATAAATGCCACTGTCACCAGCGAGAGTGCGCCTCCGAGCCACGCATTTATGAGGTCACTTCGACCCAAAAAACAAAAGGTCACCATTGTCTGCCCATGCAGATAGGAAAGAACTTGAGTTTTAGTTAAAGCTGGAATCGCAACGCGACTCGGAGACTGGACCCAAAATAACTGAAACAGCGTAATACCCAATGGCAAGAAATGAGAACAATCACCATCTACCCGCACGAGGCACAAAAGATCGAAGGGAAGGCAAGCTCAAATAAAGGCATGACTCAGAGACCAAGCCTAAAACAGCTAGGCAACATATAGATGCCCCAACACCTACTCGCATTAAGGATCGCGCTTGAAAGCCCACGAGCCTGCCTGATCGGTTCCGAACCCACGAGGATCCCACCAAAGCATGGAAACCAGCCTGCCGGATCAAAGGCGAGACGGGAAGGTACAAAAGAGGTAAAACTTCAAGATTTCTCTCATTTTATATATGCACAAAAGGTGCGCTTTCCATCTACAAACATGCTCTATAAACAACAAAATACAAAGTGGCAAAATCTACACTCCACCCATAAAGGGTTACGGCCTACCGACCCTAGCCTTGCTCTTCTTGGCATCAAAAATAAGCAAACCGGGCATCACGCCCGACCACCTTCGCTCGAACGAATCCTGCTAGAAGGACGGAACCCCTAGCATTGGTCACTTCAAAGCGCCTGCCCCGAAGATCTACGGCGAACGCATCCCTCGAAGGCTCGTTCCAACCCAACTCGATCATCGGCGACAAGTCGCCACTCCTTCATCATCCTCGGACCAGCTTAGTTCTATACCAATCCGGGCACCGGTTGTTCTCAATCCAAACTTTTGAGGAATCAAGCTACAGCTTCACAATCATATCCACTAAGATCGAAGCTCGAAGCTTGCATTTGATACTTCAGGTATTCCTAGCTCAATCGACTCCGCTCCTAAGGTCAAAAAGGTGAAACGCTTACCACAAGAAGAATCATGCCTCACCAAAAGGTTTCTGTAATACGAGCTCCGATATTTCCCGAATCGCCAGTGCACCAACTCGACTCTTCTTTCCCCTAACCAAGAAGCCCAAGGGGCCTACCCTCATCCAGGGCCCTCAAAAGTATAGCCCCTTGACGGAACGGCTCAAAGCCTGGGTTTGTTGGAGCCTTACGGAGGGAAAATCCTATAAGAAAGGGAAGACCCGAGATGCGGAGGAATCATGCTGAAACTTACCACAGAGTAAAGCCGGCAAACCTACTCGATGACCGAGCATATTCATGATGTCCCAACCCTTGTTGGCCCAAAGGAACCGCTGTTCCAAAACTAAGGACTCCAGGAATGCCAGGCTTGGATGATGCACTCTCCTCAGAAAAACGGGCCTGTCTCGCTCCGATCAAAGCTCCTTCATTATTATGAAGCACACATCTCATCTATCGCCGTGCCCGGTCTCTATCGTGCCCTGAATAAGAAGCCGCTAAGGGCATGACCCAAGGGCAACATAAAATCAACAAACCTCGAGGATCCCCGGAGAGAGGAAGCAACCTCACGACTACATGCGAAAAGGGCGGGAATAATGCAACATCAACGAAAGGCACCAGCCACCGGCACCGCCTCTAGTTTTGAGGTAATGCTCAACCCTGAAGACCTCCGCCATAGCAAAACAATGCCCCAATAGGCCAACAATGCCTTCACCAAATTGGCATACAGCTTCAAAAAGCCTCCGCCAAAGA